CTATCATGTCCTTTAACTAATTCAATAAAGTCCTTTAACTGACTCAAATGTCTCAAAAATTCCACTCTTTAAAGGACCATCTTGATGAGATAAAAAGAATTATAAAGAGATAAAAATTTGACAATAAAAGGATGAACCATTCAGATGACAGTCAGTCTAAAATAAGTCAGTTTGTATATAGCATTACAACAAATTAAATAATTAACGCTTGAGTGTCATGGGTTAGTATGGGTAGAAAAAATATAATTTAAATTTATTATTCAAATATGAATATGTTTTAATTCTTTTTAAGACTCATTTTATTTTAGTTTGATAAAATGTGCTGTTTTAACCAACATGGAATTGTGGATATTTTTCGATTACATGCACCTTAATGTAAGAGTGCCACTGTTAAAAAAGTGTATATCTAAATAAATAAATAATTAATAAATAAATATTCCCTCCTCTCTTTTAATAGCTGGTCTCTTTATATAATACGACAAAATGCCGCGAAATCAAATCATTGCTGTAGTGAACACCTACCAACAGTGAACATTTTTTCTTGGCAAAAAATTGTTCACTATACGCAGGTTTTACTGTACATGCATTAATGGGATATATTAGTTCTATGATAGGCTTTGATAGGCTTGGCCCTTTCAGAGGACAACATAATATGTTAATAAATTAATACATAAAGCATACACCTTTTAGTATTGGGCATTAATGAAAATATTAAACAGCTTTAAAGTTTGGAAAATTTAATGAGTTTGCACCGAATGACCCCTGAAAATACCTGGGTTTCTTAGATGAAGGCAGAACTGTGGCACTACGGGGCTTAATTACTTTGCACCGAATGACCCCAGTTTGTTACTAAGCAAGATGTCATTTATGTCATTTATGTCATTTATTACATCTTACATCCTGGTTTTTATGATTATGACGACTCAACAGGTCGAAATTGACAATTGGCGATTAATCAACTAGAATAATAGTAGATTAACATTACAGGTGGTAGGAAGGATGGAAAATGTGGATTTGTTTACATTTTTACTGTCAAAATCCTGAAAACAGCTGATCATATGTGAGTTTATATCCATTGGTTTGTTGCATTGATTGGTAATTAGTACATGGATGTTTTCGGCTTTTTTGTACTCATTGACAGCCCCCCCCCCCTCCCAAAATGAACATATAATATAGTTTTATATTTCATTTGCGGGATGCGGAGTTCTCTGTTTTTGCACTGATTGAGATTTACTCAGAATTTAGTTTTCAAATCAAATCAAGGGATTCCATTGATAGAAATATTAATTTTGAATTCAGTTCTTGCATTTGAATGAGAAAATATTTATAGTTTGTATTTGTATGACTTCTCAAAATATTGAAATCCAAAATCCTAAAGATCAAACATTGCATGTTGTATGGTAATTTCAAGCTTTTGGGTGGGAAATCATAATTTTCTATCATTTAATTATATTGTCTTATATATAGTTTGTGCATAGATTAATGTGTCATGTTTTGATACAATTGTCAATAAAAGAAATATATATTTACATAATCCTCATGGAAAGGCTAATTCCTTGGCTGGGTACATATCCAGGAAGGGCACATACCAGCCATTAGCTTGTAATTACAATGTTCATCTCTATAAATATACAACACAGAGCAACAATATAGAATGAAGAAAACAATATCATGATGTCCATGTTTTAAAATCAAAGAATAATATCAAAAATAGTGAAATGGCAATGAATAAATTAAACAGGCATGTAGCCAACACTCTAAATTATACAGAAATGCAAGAAAATTGGGCAGTTTATTCAAGAATAGAATGAAATAGACCAATGATATATTTTTTATGTATCAACAGTAGTTTTTATTTAGCAATATTGTGGTAATAAATAACATTTTTGTGGTAAACATGTCATTATGACAATTAACCCAGTTTTTATTGATTATGGCCTGTTTTGATTACCTAGTAATTAATGTGTTTACTTGTATCATAATATTACTCATCGTTTAATTACTCACACATGGAGTAGAAACAATAATATTGAAATATACTAAAGGTTTAAAATGCCAGTTTCTGAGGATTTGTTATTTGGCCTTGGTGTTATTTTGTGTTCTGCATTGTATTTAGCATGTCTGATTTGGGGGACTGATTTTACATTGATGTATGTCCACTTTATATTGATATAGGAGGTGTTCACATTGAGAGGTGTTTAGATTGAAAGGTGTTCACATTAAGAGAAGTTTACTTCACAGGTTTAGGATTCCTTTATTCCTACCATCACTCTTCTCATGGCTCTGCCTAGCTGGAGCAAAAACACATTTGATATCGTCTAATATATAACATATTTCCAGTTGTCACATCCAGATATTTCAAGTTTGGTGCACCTAAATACCTGTGTTCTAATGTCTAGTCTTGTACCAAACCTTTATTTTCATCTCTTAACCTCTATTTCTTTAGGGTGTTAAAGAGAGATCCAAGGGGCAAACAGGGCCTTGGTGCAGTACTATCTAACAACCAGATTTTTCTGCCTTATTCCATTTCAAATGATTCACATTTTTGTCAACAGAAATAAGATCACCATTTTTATATGTTTGAACCCAAGTGGAATTTGGAGCAATAGGGATATTATAGCCATTTGATGTCATAGTTTCAAGATACACCATCCAATTATGATTGCATCCTTTTAAGTTGGTCAGACCCGTGGCTATAGGAACGAGGAGAATTTGAAACTAGGAAAGAATATGAGCTAATGAAACTGAAATTTGCTCATTAAATCTGCACCGAATAACCTTTCATTTTTTAGCGTACAGGTAGGGCTAATATTGGGCTGGTTTGTTTGGCAAGAGAATGAGAGTATTGGTCCATTCAACTCAGTTGGTCTTGTATTTAACTCTGTTATGTATGCTGTGTATTGTATTTTGGCAATTACTGTGTCACTCCTGCCTCATTCATTGATGTCAGTCTTTATGGGAATGTATTCATTAAATTATTATTAATATGTGATGTAAATAAAGTTATTTTAAGAAAAATCACATAAAGAATGAATCAAACAAACAAATAATGAATCACACAAATTATTTGAGAATTTGAGGTATAAATCAATATTTGGATGATAATTGTGTTCTTTAAATGTTTAAGGGTCTCGTTCGCATTTAACCTCTAAAAGGAAGACACCATGCATGTTTGATATTATATACTGTACTCAGTGTCACTGTCATAAATATCAATAATTACTAGGCTTTACATGTAATAATATTATAATATAAAATTAAAAATGCAATCCTGACCTTAAAGCTCATGCAGAATACCTCTTGAATGGCAGTAACTCAAATGTGAGTAGGTAGTTACCAGTTTCACCACCAGGTGGCTTGTTCGGGTCATATAGCATGGCGGGTATAGTAGAAAGTTCCCTTTAACTTAAATTACATCTGTTTTAGTGGTTCAATTTTCATATAGCCCTTATGTATCGAATAGTTATGCAAATTTAATTATGTCCAGTAAAGAAAAATGGTATATGTCCAATACAAGAAAAGATATTTCACTTTTTGTGATTTTGTAAACAGAATTTAGAACACAACAGAATTTAGAACAATTTAATCCAATCTACAGTATGAAGAGATTATCAAGTTCTATGGTAGAGGGTGACACAAAAATGATACCCTTCAATTTTGGAATGACTTTCTCAATTACAATAGAATCCTCTCAATTTTCTTTTATAAATACAGTTAATACAGTAAATAAGTGGTCAATGTGGGAAACATTGGTGTACAAGTGGTCAATGTGGAAAACATTGGTGTACAAGTGGTCAATGTGGAAAACATTGGTGTACAAGTGGTCAATGTGGAAAACATTGGTGTACAAGTGGTCAATGTGGAAAACATTGGTGTACAAGTGGTCAATGTGGAAAACATTGGTGTACAAGTGGTCAATGTGGAAAACATTGGTGTACAAGTGGTCAATGTGGAAAACATTGGTGTACAAGTGGTCAATGTGGAAAACATTGGTGTACAAGTGGTCAATGTGGAAAACATTGGTGTACAAGTGGTCAATGTGGAAAACATTGGTGTACATATTTAGCATCAACAACTTTGAGATTTAGAGAAATCACGTCTACTCTAAAATGAGAAGGTAACAATTTTTGTGTCACCATATATACATTTGTATTCTATATTTCTGGGTTTGTTGACAGTCTGAATATTTCTACAATAAAGTCCACGATTTACATCCTGGTTCTTGGTATCTATGACATTATGATATAAACTTTATCATTAATACTGGCAATGTTTGCATCATCTAAACAAATATTTTGTTGTGACTTTAATAATTTGGCAAGTCATTTATTTCTGGATTTTTCCGCTTCATTATCAGTATTTCTAAGATATTTATGTGTATTGAATTGTATTTGTATGGTATTTATGTAGTGTCTACCCATCTCCATTCACAAGCCAAATCTCTGATTTCTTTTGGTTGCCATGACTCCTGCCAAAACCAATATTATCTGTAACTGTATCTGATGCAAACTGACAACAGACTGGATGACGTTTTATTGTGACGAGGGTTGAATAACATTGCTATTGTGTAATCCAGCAGAGTTTTCTTAATGGAAAACATGGCAGAATATTTAGGTTTCAAACATGACATGTATAATGAATTGCAGTTGAAGGCAATTGCAGTGAGATGTCAATCTGAATTTACTTGACATTCATGAGCTTTGTGAATCAGACATTGTTGTGTAATATGTTACATACTTCAAACTGTTGGGAAGTCATGTCTTAATCAATGAATCTTGAATTTATCTCTTGGGTGCCTTTAGAGGATGGACAGATTTGGGGTCAAAATAGAAAATGACAATTTTGTGCAATTTTAAATAATACAATTTTGTTTACTCAAAAAAGAAATATAGAAGATATGGACCAATCAGTGAATCAGATCTTTAAAAATTTCACCATTGATAAAATCATATGATCCGATGTTCCATCATTTATAGGCTTTATCTATGTTCTATTTGCAGAGAGTGATGGCCACCACTATGATGGGACTGACCCAGGTTTACAACATATTAGAGTAAAGTCTGCAATACAGCAAGACATTCTCTCCTAAGTACCCCCACCTTATCCTGTGAAGACACTGCCCTGTGGTAAGTATAGATAACTAATGTAAAGACATATACAGGGTGATACAAAAAATGTATGCCCTCAAATTTTGATATTATGTAATCTTTGCATTTTTTCTGTTTGGAGAATGTTCAATTGAGAATACCCTGCCTGCAGAGTCTAGTAAAACTACGCTCTGCCTAGTAGAGACCATATTACAGTTTAGTAGCCCCGCCCCCACGACGGGTACCGTTGACAGTTCGGGTAATAAATCACTTCTGACCTATGCGCTGACCTTTCTTCCACCATTCAGCGAGCTTGAAGAAACATACGCCAAATGCGTTCTAATTAAACATGCGCATGTCATTGGTCAATTCCGGGCTCAACGATGACGTCAGAAGGAATGACCATATATAGAACGTCGGTCAAATTTGGCCGACGAACACTGATTGGCGCGGTGAGTTCACAGGTTTATTTTAGTTTGAAAGAGTGAAGACGAAGCTCTGTTAAGAAGTGAAGTCAAACGAATGCAAAGGGTAAATTGAGAACACAGTGGTATATTCATTTTATATTTATAATTTTAAGATGTAGGGAAATCATGTTTTCCATACAGGTATGAGGATGAAATCTGGAAAGAATTCCGACCCTCAGAGCCTAGTATATTAGATGACTCTCAAATCAAACTATAAGAAAGGTTGGAACCCATGACACATTCTGAATAAATCCTCCCACCCATTCAGATTCATCTGAAGCTTGAGAGGATAGTACATGTACAGCCTGTAGATCCCACATTCTCTGTTTCCTATCACCTGAATTAATAGATGAGTTCTTGACATAAATCCCCTGAGATTCCATGACCAAATGTCCCATGTCACTTCAGTATCCAAACATTACAGGCAACATTGTATAACAGTGTCAGAGCTATAGAGACCATAACAAGCTGGTCAGTCCAACAACAAATACTCTAACAGATTAGGAAGAAATCACAATCAGAGTGGTATCTTGTCAAAACTGTATGTGGTCCTTTGGAATTTATATTTAAATGTAGTTGATTTTCAATAATTCAAGTATTGCTTTATTATTGGAATATGTCTCTGAGATTCTTCTTGAGGCCCATGGGGCAGTAATCAAAATCTGAAGAGTTGGATTGCGGGTGTATTATTTTGTCATTCTAGCATCTGTTATAGTTTGGTTGATTGTGTAACCAAGTCTATGTTATAGTCCTGGGAAACTAGGTCCATGTTTGGAGTTGTGTCATCTTACAGCATATCATCAACAGATGGAATGTTATTGTAGAGATGCACTTCATTATCTGATGAGGTAAAGTAAAATAAAGACTTGGGGACTGTTTTGATTGGTTGGAAATGTTTTGAAAATGTGTGGAATAAGGTAAAACTCTAAGTACTTAATGATGGGGGACCAGCAATAGATTTGAGAAAATGGGCCTTATATTGAAAATTTGAACTCAACTTTTTAATAAAGTCTTACACTTGTTTGCTTATAGGACAACTCCTATGGGGGATAGAAATGGTGTATATGTACATTTTCTGATAGATTAATTTAGACCATAGGCCCATGTCTGATGTCATAATTACCAATCTGGACACAGGTATCCCACATGTGTATAACTTGATACAGAAAGTAATTTGTGGGAGTATGGGTGGGTGAAAATCTATCCAGGATTTTCCAGTGTGTTTCCTGTGTTAATGAGGCCAGGGAGACTGACCAACTGCCAATGTCCCTGTACACTTATGCAATGCTCCCTCAAGAAAAATCTCATGGTGGTCTTGTTTTAGAAATGGAAATAGAGTGGAAAACAGTGGAAAGAACATGAAATTTTATAAACAGATATGTTGTCAATATTCTAAGTCAGTGGCGTAGCCAGGATTTGGTGACCGGGGGTTCTATTTTTATGTTATTCACAAATCCCCCCCCCCCCCCTTTCATTAGGGTTTCTCAAATAATGCAATTTGTACAATTACACTCCCTCCAAAAGTTTGGCAATCCTAACTACCCCATTGGATTATGTATTAAACCATCTTTAAGTTTGAATTCTTATTTGCATAATTTGTAAAGAAACTATTTTTGGGAGGGGAAATAGAATTCATTTCAATACCTTCATTAAAGGCAGAATCTGATCTATAGGGGGTGATAAAATTACAAGCAACATGTATAATTGACCAACCAAACTATTCCTTACAATATCTAATACAATATCTCCCCAAAGATTCACAACATGTTATAAATTGGTGAAGTTATGAATGATTCAAAGTGCAAAAATGAGTGAAAAATGTTTAAATTCTCCCAAATAATAAGAATGGTAACCATTCTTATAGAAAAATAATACATTTTTTGTAAAAATCTTTAGTTTTCCTGGAATAAAGTATGCACTGTTGTGATTTTTAGAAAATAGACATGACAAGGAATGACATGAGAAAAGTCTGGACGTAAAAATGATTTTCAAAAATGACCTTGTAGCTTTGCAACTTTAATGTTCACAAAGTAAAATAAACAGGCAACGTGAAAAAAAGTCAGACAACTTATAATTAATTTTCTGCATCAAAATATACTTCGGTGAATCTTTTACTGAATACATATCCTGAAATCTGATTTGCCCCGAATCCACCATTATTTCGACTGATTTCTGGAAGACCCTGGAGTATGATTTGTTTCCAAAGAATATCAACTATTTCGCACAATTTATTCTTTAACTTAAGCTACTTCATCTAGGACAAAATAAATCACCTCATGCAATGACTTATCATTATTTTTCAGGAAATTTGTTGGAAGCCAGTTCGGATCAAATGCACTTGGTTATTGAAATTGACGCAAACACCTTATACTCCGAAAGATTGTTCTTTTTTGATAACTTTTCACAACGTTTACACGAAGGCTTATAAACTATCTGGGATAGTCGTATTACTGATGAAAATATCTATTATTCAAATAAGTGGGTCTCGGTTATGCTTTGTTTTAAAAAGTTAAAAATATTTCTTTGGACGTCATCGGAGCTCAGTGGTAAGTCCCCCAGAGCAGATCAACCGCAATTGATAATAAAAACGTTTAAGTGGATAAAATTATATATAAATACAAGGACTGTTATTTTGTTAAGTTCAGACGGCTTGATAACAAATTAGGCCTTCATTATTTGAAGATTAATACCATATAATTTTTCAATGTTTTTTTTTTATTATATTATTTATTCGCTAAACATATCATGACATTAACATGATAATGGAGAGCAAGTAAACTAGAACGATAACAATTTGAATTCTATACAATCTCTTAGATAAGTGGAGTGTATCTGAAAAAAATTTGGAAAGTGATGGGTAAATAAATACTGAACAAATGAAAGAATGAATGAATTTGAACAAATGCTTGTGTTTATAAATGATATACGCTTTTAAATAATTCATTTCACAACGTTTCTAATTACTAATTGGTTTCGGGGACTTGCCAGCCCCAGGGACGCCCCAAGAAATATTTTAAATTTTAATCGAAATAAAACAAAACAGAGATGTACACATTTGAAAGAACATGTGTTTCATCAATATTACGACTATTCCAGATATCTATATCGCCAATGTTGTAATAATCATTCGGAGTATGGGACGTCTGCATTGTTTTCAATAACTTTCAATGATTTCGTATTGGACCAGAACTGGCTTAAAACAAAATTCCTATAAAGGACTGATTTAGCCATTGCCCAAGATTGGTTATTTTGTCCGAGATGAAGCATGCCAAACGTTCTGAGGGAAGTGTAACTTCACTATGACATGTTTTTAAGAAAATAATGCTCTCGTGTTCACCATAACAAATATCAATTCATTTACTGCTCATATATGTAGTTTTCAAATAGCACAGTAATTTAATGATTCTGGATATATGCATTTTTCCGCAAAATTATATTTTGGGAAATCCTGACCGGGGGTTCGTTCGAACCCACCGAACCCCCGCTGGCTACGGCTATGTAAGTTGTACAGAAATGTCAGAGAGTGAGGTGGTTCATAGAAGAAATGAGAGATATAAGTTGAATTGTGCATGATGTGGATGACGTTTTATATCTGGGCAGAAATCTCTCTTAGCAGGTCTTCTGAATCTGAATCCATCTGGTCTTACAGGACCTAGAATTGCAATATCACTTTATTTGATAAGATATCATGAAACAGTTTATATGCAAAATAACATTTAAAGATTTTATAATGCTATGCTACAATATAGAAAATAGTATTCAATATAAAAAATGCATAATTCAATTACAGGGTCTGTTGTGCAATGAGAATAATACAGTGCAGTAAGAAAACTTGTTATTCTCAAGGGTAATATTGTATGGTGTCAGTCATGGCCTATGATGATGCCCCCCCCCCCCACTGCTTTTAGTTACCTTTATATAATACATTACAACATACAAGTGACATCTCAACTCAATTTGTGTAGTTCATCATGGATTTCCAAGTTCTGAACTGGTAAGCAAGTAGAATGATATAGAATCCGATCCTTGGTCCTAAGGTAATTCACTTCTTTCCATAACCAGAGAATTTAAAGCATAAATGAAGTCCTTTGAAGAAGGATGATAGAGTCCTAGAAAACAAAATTTTCAGAATTTTAGGAAGTTAATCTGATCATGAATCTCTCACTTTACCCAGTTAATGTCTAATATATTAAAGAAATTTGGCAAAAATCCTACATTTACTGAGCTTGGTGACCAAATGACCTGAAAGACATTGCACTCATCTAAGGTTGGAAGTCTTTAGCTGATTAAAAAATTGGACCTAAAAGCACTCCCATTGAGACATTTTCATATTTGAGAGGTGTTCAGATTAAAAATGTTACCGCACTGTATGCTGAGAATGATATTGAATCTTCTTAAAAAATTCTTTTAGCAGCTACATTTTCTACTTCTTGACCTCAAGTCTAAAATTAGTAATTTTTGCTAGTTTATCTAATTCGCAGATAGTTATATTAATGACCTTATCTTGTTTTTGCTCTTAGAATATTTTCTATTGACTTAAATAATGACTTTTATTCACCTAACCTTCTCTCAGGTAAGATTTGAAAATTGTTATTTATAATGTTTTGATAAAAGATGCTTGTATAACGGACATGATATAACTCTCCATTTTTCATTTTTAAAGATAACCTTAGGGATTCTTCTTCTCAGGAGTCATCATAAATAAGATCTTTCATTATTCACTGTTTTCGACTTCTGATGCTGCTTTTAATCAAGAAATATAAATTTATATATATTTCTTATATTCATTATTTTTTCATACCACTGGCAATTTGGCAAATACATTTGAATGTTTACTCATTTATGGGAACATAGATAAATATACATTGGAGGCTCCTGATGCAGTTGTTAGTTTTTTAGTTGATCGTAGGGGTTTTATTTACTTTATTTTTATTTTTCATAATTTGCCTCTTGTGCATTCTTATCAGCCTTTGATGTTTGCTCTTTTGGTCTGCCAGTTTCTAAAAAAAATACTCATAGGGCAACATAGACATGGTTAATTAAACACACAGCCAAATATCCTGGTGTTTCCATCCAGTTCTCTTTATTTATTTGACAAAATGTTTCAGAGGTGAATATTCTGTGATTTCAAGCGCAGTTCTTTCAACGTATTTATCTGCAGCATGGTGGTATACGGGTGAGATCTAAAAGGTGGAATATCATGTTACCTTTTAATAACCACTTTGACCATTGAACCTGTTGCATTTGTTTATACCTTGAATGCACTGGGAACAGAGGTTGATGAGTGAAAGTGTTTTATGCTAAAGAATCCATTTGCCCTTTTGCCAAATGCCACAACCATCATATTTGAAAATACAAACCATTGTTAAAAAGAATGGAATCCTTCATTACTGATGAGTGTAATACAAAATTTAATTTATTCTGTATTTTTTTCTTGTTCTTTGAGAGGTATATGCAAGGAAAATAATGTGATTTAGAATTGAGTGATATTTTTATTTGTGAAAAGGTCTGACAATTGCTTGTGGTAATCTGGTAATTGGTTCATAGTTCTTAGTGATACTATCACGTTAGAGGGAAGAGACCACCTTTAAGTGTTTCATCTTCTCAATGAAGAATTCCCTCATTAGAACTATTGCCAGAAAGCACAAAAGGCTTAAACAATCATATAAACCCCTATAAGTCATATCAAATAAAAAAATCAGCTCTGTACAACACAACCTTTAGTCATTTATTTTATCATTTTTATTTTCAGATTCCTGGGATTTCTTCCAGTTTCAGTGCCATCTTTATTGTTTACCCCAGTGCAGTGTTTGTGTAAGTTGATTTTTATATACCAAATTTTTCATGCAAAAATATATCTTTGACCTAACCTGAGCTATGCCTTAGTTGAACTTTGTTAATCATGATAATTGGCTGTTTTATTGTGTTATCTTCATTTAATGTATGATATTAACAAGTGATGTCCATATAAGATAAGTAAAGGTTTAGGCATGATTTGTTGAAATTAACATTTCAATTGTGCCGAAGGAAAGGTATAAAATGAAAACATTCTAAAAGTCATTGTCACTTGACCTTAAAGTCAACCTTTCTGCCTGAAGTCAATGTTAGGTTCTTCAACTTTGTCACACAGTTCACACTTTCACTTATTCATGATGAATAAAAAATGTATACAGTATTTACAATTTTAATCTAAAAAGATATGTTATCTCCAAATAACATTGTTTTAAAGGCCCCATACAAAGTTTAAGCCAAAGTGGGGAATATTTCCCGGGACCCTTAAAGAGACCTGTATTTTGTGTGTGAGGAATTCTTGGACCAAGTGTAATTCATTGCATTACATTATGATCTAATGTGAAAGCAGTGAAGGACCGGTCTTGAAGGATGGTGTGAGGCTTTGTTCAATCATTTGTGCTTCTCTGTCTTCTGTGTTGTAGAATGCAAGAACTATTATTCATGATGTCTTCTTTATGTTATACTTTGAACAAAATAAACAGAAATGTGAAGGACTCAAAGCCCCTTAATTTATTTAGAATCAGTTAGTAAAGCAGTCCACGTGAGTTCAAGATGATATAGCCAAAGTGTAGAGGAAGTTCATAGTTCATCATGCACCCATGGTTGAAATTGTAATCTGGTTAGGTTTATTTTTCAGAAAAGTTATCCATTATTGAGAAGAGGTATACCTTTTCTTGGCGTTTCTATATAATCTTAAGTGTTGACTACCTCCTATTTTTTATTGATTGTTACCATTACGTTTTTGTAACTTTATTTTCATTTTAAAACATGACCACATTAGTAGTTTATTTTTTGGAATATTGTTTCCTCCATACAGTGCTGCTCCTCTCTGGTTATACCTGAAACTACTCATCTCTTGAAAAACAAACTGTTTTACTATCTCTTTGCTAGTTACCAAGGTTACCACGAAAGATGAGTTTCTACGGAGACGGAGATGGAGTACTATAAGAGTAAGTGGCATAGTTTCTATATTTAAGAAGATAGTGTCGGGTGAGAAAATCAGAGGCTCTTAGAATAGAAATTATGTTTGCTTTGCTGGGGGTATGAAAAGGTGAAACACCCTTGGATGTTGTCAAGGTGATCATGTTTTGAAATGCAAAATACAAAGGAAGAGAGAGAAATCAGTGAGGAATAAAGTAATTATGAACGAAGTCAACACTCTATATTGTGTAGAAACTCTAAAGAACTCATGGTTCTTTTATAATTTTAAGAGAAATTCTTTGGTCAAAACACCTAAGCGTTACATTTTAAGCATTGGCAATGGTACTATTACTAGAAGCTCTACATAACTTATTTTATTGTGAATTGCGGAAGCTTAGGCATTTTGCTATTGAGACTCTACTTTCTAAAAGGTTATATCTAAGGAACGAGTACTATGTTTGTTGTAAGTAGTACTATTTTGGTTTGGAGAAAGTAACAAATTATGTTTCAGAGGTTATCAATAGGGCATAGAGAAAGTTTATATAGGAAGTTTAGAGTACAAAATGAAGCATATCTACTGTCATATTCCATCATATCCCATGAATTTATCTACTGGATGCATAACCTTATAATGAGATATTTAAAGCTTATAATGAAAATATTTTATTTAATTTTTATTGAAAATCCTAATTCTAAATTCATGAAATGTTAGTATATCAGTCAGCTGCTTACTGGGTGAGCATATCCTTCCTCTGAATAAAACTCATATCCTGTATGAAATATGATCAACTGGTATTAATAAATATAAAAGTATACAACATAAATTGAAGCAGATCCACATTTTCAGCAATTACTTCTTTATATCAGGGGAATTATCACAGAATGAAACAGTAAATACAAACAATGTTCCAAATTATATAAAGTACCAAAATGAGAAATATTATGAAACATATGAGCTGACTGACATTTGGACGATGTGAAACCGGATTTCAACTGTAATCTTAGCAGTTTGTTGCGATGTCGTGGGTGGAAAACAATGTGAAAGTTGATCTTGACTTCCTTGTTTAATGAGATTATAATTTTATGTTATGTTTCTGGAAGCATGCTATATGTATGATGAATTGTAGCTGGTCTCTACATTTTTTCTATTCCTCCCTATTTTGCGCCTTTTCTCACATGGTCTGAATGAAGTTTTCTAGCATTTCATTGTGGTTTAGAGTGTTTACTACAGGAATGTATACTTTATTTTTTGCTTTTTTACCCTTTTTCATTCTTAGTCCTATTTTTTAACCGTAACTGTTTCATCCTAGTTTCTAAGAAAGCAGGAAGTGCTGGAAATGCTGACAACAAATCTTGAAGTTAATTATGATACCACAAAGGGAAACATTAAACAAAAAATTGACAACCTATTAACTATAGTAAGACCAAAAGCCAAGACAAAACTATGAAATGATATTGAGAGATAATAATGTTTCTATTGAAAATAATTCAAAATATAAATAGAATATTAAATATCACCAGGATTTGTCCTTTAATTAGAGCAACATGGATGCTTTTTCCATATGCAGGTAATCATTCAGGAAATATATTTTGATTTATTACTGACACGCTATCTTGGAATAGTGATAACTTATAGTTTATGTAACTTTTTTGGCAGGAAGCCATTGTTTGGATGCCGGGTACCAGTTATTTGTCAGAAACATGTGACCTTGGGTTTGTCTTCTCATACATAAAATATCTCTCTGATCATGCGTATATCTCATGTTTTCTCTGGAAATTTTGGATGAAGCGTACCATTTTATAGGCATTTGCAGACCATTTAGAGTATAGACTTTGATCTTTTTCATTTTGCCAATTTCTCTATTTTATTCTTTATTCTACACTCCAAACATGACCTTACGACTTTTTCATACTTTCCGGATTTCAACCAGGACATTATCAGGCCACTTATCCAGGGTATGACGAAAATGCGTTTTGGGTAAAAACGTCAATTAAAATGGAAACCTCTTGGTAGATAAGCATCTGTTGCCGGCTTTGTTGTTGCGCCATGATTAAAAACATCCCTTTTGGCAGAATGCCAAATCGAGAAAACAACTTAAAAGAAAGACTGAATTTTTATTGTCAAAGATGCTGGATGGGCTTCAAATGCTTTGTGTTAAAATATGAGAATATTGTGTCTTTATAAACCGGTGTGATTTCATTCATCCCTCTAGCGAGACATACACAAACTACTAAAACCTATGCAACAACTACTAAATACTATCTTGATGAGCTAAAACTCATTGTCAATAATGACTTTCCTTCCAAAGTTTGAAACTCTCTTGAAAGATAATAACTGAAATTCATTTGTATCTGATATTGCCATGGTTACATCATAAAATATTATAGAAAGAATAATCTAAGATGTCATTTACTATCAGACCCTATGGGCAAATGTCTAGAAGTAACCATTATGTCATCTTGCATCACCATGGTGACCTGAAAGTCATCTTTGGTGTCATTAAGAGTTCACGGTAACATTATGATATCTAGTAATTGTTGACAATGTTTTTTATTTATGTGCCTGAGGAGTGTTAGTATTGCACTCTACTGGAAGACAGCTGCAGTGTAATATGTTTACTGTTTACTTTACTAACACAGGGATGTTTTTTGTTGCTGGGAAGGTCAACGTAACCAGGTAGTATCCAGGGTAGGGTCTATGACATCATCAATGATGATAGCCCATATCCTCTCAAGGGTTACTGGCTCTGTAATTTAGCTTGGTTTTTCTCAGTGATTTAAGTGAAGATGCCACTAACCAGGTGATAGTGGAAGGTGAAAAAATACAAACAGATGCTAGTATCTCTAACACCCCTTCAATCAACTGATCAAAATTACAATTTTCATGATCATATCTGGGGGCTTAAATCAGTTCTCGAATGATTTTAACATCATTTTATGGTAGTAGATTGCCCCATTCCCCACTGGTAGTGCTTCCTTCTTTATACACTTACCTGGTAGACTATTATTTGGGTCTGTTCATTGAATTTGTTTGTCTAGGATGAGGAAGGTTGATTGAGTGTATTATAGTAAGAATAGTGTGTGTTTACTACTTACTCCAACACAAGTATGTCTGTCATGTCAGAGATGAGCCATTGCAGTCAAATTCTTGCAGACGGATTATTGGGGGTCATCTACATTTTTTGTACTTTCTCCAGAAAAATTGGAAGAAAGGATCCATTTTCTCGGATGTTTGTATAAAATAGGATGTGTGTTCAATGGCTATGTCCATATTTTAACCTAAATCCTCCTTCTTTCTGGGGTATTTTAAGAAAAAGGGTCAAACCAGGATGTAAGAGGTGATATCTAGGATACCTTGATGTTCTTGAGATGTTGCAACATCCTAGAACAACCCTTGGCTAAGATAAGCGTGTCTTGTGCTTGTCATGAAAAATTAGATCACACAATTTCATTTATTTACTTTTCACCAATGATATAGCTACCTTACATGTTATAGAATCTTTGAGTGTTTTTCTTTAGGTTTTAAATATAAGAGAAATGCTAAAAATACATGCATGTTTTGTGTACTTTAAAGTAGAATAGCTCTTTGTAGTAAACACGAGCAGATGGTGTACAGTATATCACTCTCTTCAACTGGAGGATCATTTTGTGGGATGGCCTCCTTTTCATGATTTGAACTTCCCAAATGATTCAACATTTCAAGGTGAAGCACACAGGTGCATTGCGCCATATTCTTGTGCAACATAGGAAATAGTTCCTGGAAAGGGAAATTGTTAAGCATGTAAAATGGGGGCTCCACAGTGGGCATATTTCATAGACAGATTTAGCAAATCCTGGTTGGCCCGGTTTAGATACCTACCATGTTGGTATTTGTAACAATG